TGTTGTTCGGTTATTTGGGCACCATGTGGGGACTCAGGTCGTCGCAGTATCCCCACCGGATGAAGTTCTAGAGTTTTTAGACTATTCATTTATAAGAAGACAGAAAATGATGATGGGGGGAATAAAGCGATCGCGGGTTTATTAAAGAATTGAGTTTTTTAATAAATCGTGCGACTATTTCGTTCATCAAGAGATATAATTTTGTCATTGTGTCCTTTGCAACACATCCTTGATTTTATTTTTATGCTTTGTTTGTCAATATAGGTGTTTTTTTAGTGTTTTGTTTCAGGTTGAGCAGAAGAAAGAAATTAATTAAGAGGTAATTTATGTTTTTGTTTGTGTATAATTTTTGTACTTTGGGAGTTGTTTATTGTGCTTTAAATTGGAAAATTACAAAATTTTGATTTTGTTTTGCAGATTTTCGTCTTTTCTTGATATGAAGCCTTGAGAATTGCAGAAATTTTCATTATTTTGTTAGTTTCAAATTATTGCTCATTTAAAATGATGAATAAACTTAGGACACCTTAAGATTAATAATGATAGCAACATGTTATAGAATCTGAAAAATACTTGTTTTATATTTCCTCATCATGATTAACATGGGCAAATTAGTAATTATTGATTTATTTTTCAGATTTGGTCACCTACTGTTGTGAACCTTCAAAACTCATTGAAATTTGGTACAGAAAAGGTAAGATTTGATCTCATTGTTGTTTATATTTTAGTTCATGGTTTAAATAAAATGATGAATAAACTTAGGACACCTTAAGATTAATAATGATAGCAACAAGTTAATACAACCTGAATGATAACTTGTATTTATCTATATTTCTTGATAATTATGGTCAAATCACTAATTATTATTTTACTGTTCAGATTTGGCCTGCTACTGTTGGGAACCATTGCAACCCATTGAAATTTGGAACAGAAAAGGTAAGATTTGATCTCATTATTGTTTATATTTTAGTTCATAGTTTAAATAAAATGATGAGTAAACTTAGGACACCTTAAGATTAATAATGATAACAACAAAGTTAAAAATACTGAAAACCATTACTCATTGTTGAATGTTTTCAAGGTGTGCATTTGCAGATTACTAAATTCTACTTTATTTTGCAGTTATTGGACCTGCAAGTATCAGTATTATTCCCTGCTGCTTCAGACTTTGTTACCGATGAGGTAAGATTTGATTATTTTTTGTTTATATTTTATTCGTTGGTTTAAATAAAATGATGAATAAACTTAGGACACCTTAAGATTAATAATGATAACAACAAAGTTAAAAATACTGAAACCTACTTCCCATTGTTGTATCTTTTCAATGAGTATTCTCAGACCACTAAAAT